ATCGACATCAGTTTCTGAAATAATACACTTCTGACTAGTGCTGCCTTTTTCATTTATTTTGATTTTAATCTTATGTCTGTCCTAATTTAAGGCTGTAAAGAAAGTTCAATTTCAGACATCTAAATTTCCTTCAGGTAGTGTTAAAATAATGTACATGCGACCGATAATACAAGTGCAGATTTCAAACACATTGAACAACCAGCTCCCAATCTTTTACACAGAGTTACCAAAGTGGGCAGGAACACAAATACAAAATCCTGATTGGAGCAGACCAAAAGCATTAATTTGCAGAAATGGAGCTAGCAGTCCCATTATTTTGACAATTAATTCGGTGCGCAGTTCAAATCTGAAAGAACTGGTCACTTTTAATCAGAAATCCCAGGCCAAAAATGTAATTTTGCAAAGCTCAGTACAACAGGAATTGTAGCGTAATGGTTGTTACTGGACTAATAATCCAGAGACCTCCTCGTAATCCATGTGTACAAGTTCAACTCCCAGCACAAGAGTTGGGAAATTTAACTTATTAGAATTAAATAAATCTGGAATTAAAAGCTAGTGTCAAGTAATGGTGATTATGAATTTATTTGATTGTCATTAAAAATCCATAAACTTCCTGAGGAAGTGGTGTATGTGACCACAGTTACAACGTTTAAAAGACACTTGGCTAAATACATGAATTGAAAAGGTTGGGAGGGATATGAGTGAGAAACAGGCAGGTGGGACTAGTTTAGATTGGGATTATGGTCAGCAGAGACTGGTTGGACCAAAAGGTCTGTTTCTGTGCTGTATGACTCTATGACTGTAGTGAAACACTGGTTTGACACCCTAACCAGCACACCTCTTACATTCACAGAACTTCCCAGCAGCTCCCCAACTGCTGGGTGATGTTAACATTGCCAATTATTTCACTCTTGTACAGCCCCATTTAAAAATTACAATTAGCCACTAGGCATTTCAACGTAAGTATCATCTTAAAGACAACAATTGAATAATGGAGGTGCACAAAGCTATTAGAATCGTTTTTAAATCCCTTCGCCATTGGTCTCAAACTTCCTCATTTCTGTAAGTCTCAGTAATGCAATTCTTCGAGTTCCTCCAATTCTAACCCTAACTCTGTTGCACATCCCAGTTTTAATTGCTCCACCATTGGCAGCCGTGCCTGGTGCTCAATTGCTTGGGGCCAATAAGAAAAATTCCCTCTTTGAGTCTATCTGCCTCAAACTTTATCTGGCTGATCAAGCTTGTGGTTGATTGTCCTATTATCTTCACTGTCATGAACATTATCTAAGAATGCTCTTGTGAAGGGTCTGGGGTGAGCATGGTAGCTCAGTGGTTAGCACTGCTGCCTCACAGTGCAAGGGACTCGGGTTCAATTCCAGCCTTGGGTGTGTGGAGTTTGCACGTTCTCCCCAAGTCTGCATGGACTTCCACCAGGTGCTCCAGTTTCCTTCCACAGTCCAAAGACGTGCAGGTTAGGTGGATTAGCCATGATAAATATGGGGTTACAGGGATAGGATGCTTTTTGGAAGGTGTAGACTTGATGAGCTGAATGACCTCTTTCCGCACTGTAGGGATTCTATGACATTTTATTCCCTTCTAGGTGCTATATAAATGCACATTGGGCGATGTGTCATTGCTGAATAACTGCAACATTATAAATAAATGGACAACCGACAGGAATAGCAGAACCTACCCTTTCTGCATACGCAGCATTTTGTCTCCATATTTTTCTCGTAGCTGTGTGTGGATACTCTCATCAATCCTCATCGGATACAGCGTCAAGGCGATTGCCAACAGACTATGCATCTGTTCATTCTGTTTGTTTATCTATAGATAGATTTGAAAAGGGCAAGGGGAAGAGAAGAAGAAAATGGGGTTTTAATTCTCTCTGGAATAATTTCCATACATTCCTACTTGAGGTTGGTCTCACACCACTATTCAGTAATCCCCATGTCTGCCCATTGAATACTATGTAACAGAGAGGGAGCATTTAAATGGATGCCCTGGGCTAGAAAAACAATGTTGAGATTTTGAATCATTTAACAAAATTAAGGAAGATGTTGGTTTGGCCACTTTTTGAATACAGTGTTCAATTCTGGTCTCCCTGCTCCAGGAAAGATGTTGTTAGGCTTGAAAGATTTCAGAAAAGATTTACAAGGATGTTGCCAGGGTTGGAGGGTTTGAGCCATAGGGAGAGGCTGAATAGGCTGGGGCTATTTTCCCTGGAGCATCAGACGCTGAGGGGTGACCTTATAGAGATTTATAAAATCACAAGGTGCATGGATAGAGTGAATAGCCAAGGTCTTTTCCCCAGGGTAGGGGAGACAAAACTGGAGCACATAGGTTTAAGGTGAGAGAGCAAAGATTTAAAAGGGATCTAAGTGGCAACTTTTTCATGCAGAGGTAGTGCATGTATGGAATGAGCTGCCAGAAGAGGTGGTGGAGGCTAGTACAATTACAACATTTAAAAAGGTGTCTGGATAGGTACGTGAATAGGAATAGTTTAAGACAGATATGGGTGCCAAATGGTAGCAAATGGGGGTAGATTAATTTAGGATACCTGGTGGGCATGGATTAGTTAGACCAAAGAATCTGTTTCCATGTCAAACATCTCTATGACTCTAAAAGACACAGAGAGGGGTTTAGGGAACCCATATTAAGTAATGGTGATCTGAGTTAGCACTTTGTTTTAATGGTCTTAAAGACAGCAACTTAAAAAAAAAGCATCTAGTGAATGTGAAAGAATCTGCTGAATGGCAATTGATTATAGTTGTGCCAGCTAAGCAAGAAAGCTTTAACTTAGAGATGGGGCAACTCTTCACAGAGTTTTCTGTCTCTCCAAGGTTATTGTTCGGATAAATGGGATTAATTTTTCTTTCTGATGTTTGTAATAAAATCTTTCAAATTTTTCTCATCTAGTGTAATATAGTTTGCATTTTATTTTTGTGTAATAAATGTTTATGCTCTTTTATTAGAAGTACATTGGCAACTTCTATGAATAGGTTCAGTGACTAAGCTCCATGGTAAACTTTTAAAAAAGCATATGGTCTGTTGAGCCAGGTTTCAGTCTGGATCCAACTTGTCCAGTATTACCATAGCTAGTACCATCTGCTAATTCAGAGCTTTTGGCTTTGTAAAAATGTGAAAAGGCTGGCTGCTTTAATTAACTAATATAAATAAAGTCACCCTTCATTTTGCGCTAAAATTGTTTTAAACAATTCAAATCAACCAACTTCAGATGAAAAATACATCATAGATAAGTAACACGTCATTTGAAGGTTTACCATCTCATATTTGTAGGTTGAACGTTGAAACATGTTCTTGGTCCTCTGAATGTACAGCAATATGTTGGCAAACACACGAATAGAATCCTGGTAACGGCGCATCATCAGGTAGGCGAAGCCCACGTAATAATAAGTTGTAACTTGACACTCTGGTACTCGGGAGTACATACTCTGTAATGGAATTGAACAAAAAGTGATAGTATAAAAAGGCACTTTATTTTAAAACCCAGGTATGCATATCTGAAAAACAATTACTTCACTCTTCTTGTACATTTATTAAGCAGAGTAAACATGGTATAATATTCTTTCTTGATTAGGGTGATGAAAGGACAGTGATGAGTTGGGTTTAATCATTTTTCCTCCTGGTTACCTGAGCACTGAGACTCATTACAAGCTTATCATGGCAGAATGTGTGGAGCTGGAGTTGGAACACTTTTGAATATTTTCATATCACAAAACGTTGATGTGCCAGGAGTTGGCAATACCTCAGATATCAAATCGAAAGAAGAAAGGGAGGAATCTTGTTCTACTCACCCTCACTAGTGAGGATGAGCAATCTTTCAAGAGGAACTAGTTTGAGTTCTGAGGAAGGGTCACCGGACCCGAAATGTTAACTCTGTTTTCTCCTTCACAGATGCTGCCAGACCTGCTGAGCTTTTCCAGCAACTTTGTTTTTGTTTCAAGAGGAACTGGGGACAATCAGGAAGAGTTTGGAATTCAGTGCTGCGACTAGGGTAGGAAGTCAATATGTGAAAAGGTAGTGAGATGCATTTAAATTTACAGAGCTTTAATTCTCATTTTATCAGCTATTTTAAATTAATCAAATAGTCCTGAGCAATGAGTTTTTTTGATAAAAAGACTGCAAACATTGAACAAAACTAAATTATCCTTTATTGTTGTGCTCTCTGATGCTGGCAACAATGATTTCTTCATGCAATATGGTTCTGTAGGGACATTCCACATGGCCATTATTCAGCAGCTTTGGCAGTGGGCCAAGCTAGCCAACCTTAAAAAGCCCATAGTTGAGCCTGAACTCCAATACTCATACAAGAGCCACTGGCTCTGGAAACTTTCCCAATCTAGTAGGAAGGTTCTGGCAGCAATTAGTTCACACCCAATCACACAATTGTTCAATCAGCATGGACTCAAGAGCTAAAGCAGGATCTTTGTAGACTTTGTGTGATGTGTAGCTTCGTGGAGCTATTGAGGAAACTGCAAAAGTTTTTGCTAAAAAGAACAGCGTACAAGGTCTAAGGCTTAGAGAGACTTTACAAGAATTGCTGTCACCCGCAAATTTATACAGCCAGTTTGCCAAGTTCATGGTTTCAAGATGAGCGGAAATGGAAAACCGGTTTGGAAATTATAATGCAGTTTTCAGGAAGCTTATCTGCACCTGCAAAGGCCCTGTGAGCTTTGAAATTACCCTAATTCCAAGGCCAGAAATAGTGCGACTTCTTAGCAGATGTGTACACTCCTTTTCTTTTTATCTCCCTTCATTAATTCAAACATTATTAACTCTTAGCTGATTACATGGACTGGAAGAGGGACCGGTCTCAGTGCTGTGTTTGGCTTACAGTGTTTTTAGTTGCAATTTCTCTGGTATTTTGAACTCTTGTTTTCTGTAAAGTCTCTCACCACTCAACAACGGCTACGTAACAAACTAACCATTGGTTTGAATCCAATGGTTAAAATTAGCAGATTAACTATGCTCAGTGAAGCAGTGCAGATGTGCTACAAAGGGACGCACCTTTTTATTGAGTTCAATGTTCTCAAGCACTTTGATAGCCTGGTAGTAATCTCCAAGCAGTGAGTGGAGACGCAGAAGTCCTACCAGGCTGAAATATCCCAGCATTTTATATAGAGAGTGACGTCCATACTCCCCAGCAACACTCTCAGGATCTCCTGTAATGAGATGAACAGTAGTAGATGTCAATACAAGGGTAAATGCAAACCTTTAGGGCAGTCAGTCTTAACCAACAGACAATCTGGTTGTGACCTTACAATACTTCGTGGGAACTTGCTCACAACAGTGACTACATTTTAAAAACATCTAATTGACCATGAAGCACTTTGGGAAGACCCAAGGTTGTGAAATACACCATTTAAATGTGACTCTTTTGCAAAAAGAGGGATATCACTTGTATGAAAATATGGATCATACAATTGATGGAAAAATACAGTAGAACAAAATTCAAGTGTTTGAAATTGAATTACAAAGAAAAAAAGTATGCAGATCATTCAGGGGTCTGCAAAGTATGAAGGAGCACTTGTGTCTGAGAAAACGCCGGCTTGTTCTGCATTTCAGCTGCTAACGAACAATTAGTCTAATGCCCAGAAATAAAGTGAAACAGATATTAGTTAATAAGCACAGTTAATAAGCCAACCTAGTAATAAATAGCTTTCAAGATCAAGAACTTTATCAGGAAACTCTAACTGAAATTTCCCAACATGTTCAGTCCTGAAACATAGGGGAGGGGAGATGTGGGATATCAAGGGAGATGTAAAACAAAGAAAACCCATGACTTTACAGAAGACAGAATCATCTGCACTTGCCTCCACTGGTGTAGACCTCCAGCTGCCGGTTGATGTTGGATTTGTCAACCAATGAATGGAGGACATTAAGGACACTGTGAACATTCCAGATTTTGGGATTTGACCGCAGGAAGTCGATTTCCTCCTCTGTCTTTTTGGCTGTTTTGCAGCGGTACTGACTGAAAGACTGAAACTGTACAGAGGAGAGTTTTCAATGGAAGAAATCAACATGGTTAGCCAGATGTAGGTCATATCTCTGCTGACTGGCCATTTTTGCAGGGCAGTCTAGCAAAAACACATTTTCATTTTTGCTCTGAATAAAACGTATGGCATATTCCTAACACTTTAATCTCTACTTTGTCAGCAGAATTACAACAGGTAATACAAAGATGCATTTTATTCCTTCATTTGGTCCACGTTTGCAACCATAGACCTGATGCAGTGAAGAAGTTAAAAGGAAATGTTGCAGAACAAGGTTTGTTTCAGGACAAATCCAAGAGAAAATAGGTAAAGTAATCTAATCATCATGCACTTCTCTTCACAACAACATATCTGACTTGAGTCGTTCAACAGGCAGAAGGCATAAGATAGATTCCAAAATAAACTACTTAATCTGAATCTGGACTCAGTCCATAATTGTAAACATTACTAGTTATTTCTGCTCTTCATTGAAGTGGTTTCGAACACAAACAGAACATGCGCTTTGCAAGAAAGAAAGAGTCTCCTGATGAATTCCTATCCAGCTTAATCCATTCGAATGGATGCATTCTAATGATCTGGGTGAGAGCTGCCAATTCTCAATAAAAGGCAGAGCCCAAATGCCAGTTGTTGCAGAGACTCAAAAGTACAGAAGGCCCCTCAGCCCCTTGAGGATATCCGGCAATACATGTTGCAGAAAAGTAATCTGTGCAGATTCAGGCAAGCTGATCTGAAGAAAAGCCAGAAAATCACCTGGTAAATGAACTCATCAATGATGTCCCACAGCCATTGGTTTGGGAGCTCCAGGGGAACTGGACCATCCGCATCTGAAAGGGATGAGATTATTCTGGTTAAAATGAGCAGAATCTACAGATCTGAAAATTTAACAATTCAGAGACTCTCAATCTATTATCACAGCTGCAGTGTCCTCAGATTCTTTGATTAGAACAAAAGAATATTCTGCTGCAATTACTTTTTAGTAGCTAGCTATTCTACCTCAAAGATTCCCAGACCATTTCTTGCTCCATATGCAGTTAAGATGCACTATTTCTGCTTAATTACTTTTGTGTTGCTATAACTGGTATCCCAGAATATTTCAGTTTTGTTTTCTATATCTGCTTAGATTCAACTGCTAGACAGTTTTGCTTTTGATACAAAGTCCAATCACATTCTATCAGAACCCTCTGGCTGCAAAACCTTAATGAAGTTGGTGATAGAAAACAAACAGCTACATGGACCCATTTGGCTGACTGGTCGGTTTGTGCACCGTAAAGTCTATGTACGTTGGGGCTTTTCATATTGGAATAGGATAGGGTGTTGGTTCATGCTTTGGGTAGAGATAAATCAAAAGATAGTTCTGGTGTTGTTCACTTTAAGTGTTTTTTTGTTCTGGTGTATTTTAACTGCTCCAACACAAAGAATGTTAATATTAATTCAGACTTGAGCTGCCTTGCTACTAAACAAAATACGATAGATGTTGGAGATCTATTTTGATGAAACACCCTAAATGTTAACTCCGTTTCCGCAGATGCTACCTGACCAGAGTACTTCCAGTATCAATTTGAGTTTTTTTGCTGATACATTTTCATCTCCTTGTGTCAACCATGTTGACAACTTCTATTGACACAAAGTGAGATTACTATTCAGTAATAACGGCTATATTCACAATGTTTTGTTTCCTCCCCATTCTATCTCTTACTATCAAAGTACCACACCCGACCCATATGATTTTGTAGAGGAATCAGGGCCAAGTAAAAGAGCGAATAAAGATTTTATTACAACAGAATGTACTTACTCAGAATGTAGTTGAACAGATTGCAGTAATTGTAATAGGATTCAAATCTCTGCTCCAATGTAGGTCCTCCCTAGAAAAGAAAGGAAACCGAACTAGTGAGTATGACAGGAATTGTTCCCAAATTGTACTTCTTGCTTAGTTGGCTCTGCAGACTGCACAGAAGCTTAAAATCCATCAGCGCTCTACTCAACAACCTTTTGATAAGGTAATACCAAACTACTGACTACATTGCACTGCGCTGTGGAATTTCAAAATAATTAATGTTAGCTTGCCACAGATCAATAGCAACGACATCATGTGACAATACCATGGCATTAAGAGCTCTATTTTGTCCTGGTTTTTTTGAGGAAATGTTGAGACAAAGGTGTTGAGCAATCTGCTCAAAGCCAATAAAGAGCTTGTGAGACATTTAACTTTTTTAAAAGTTGGAACAATAGAAGCAGCCTGAATGGGTGAGGTCAAACTCCACAGAACCAGAAAATTTAGATTCAACTTTCTACAGTTACTGGGGTCTTGAGGCTAGATGTGGGAGCTCTTATCCTTCTCCCTGTAAAAGCTAAAAGCTGGGGTTCTCTCTGCTAGAACTGTATGTGGGACAATCTATTTTACTGAATTTGCCTTTGCCAAGTGTGTGTTTATGGGATGTTACAATATTGGAATGGTTAATTAGGAGTAGTTAATATATATTAATTTGTCAAGCATTTCAGGGGTTACAGTTAAGCCAATTCTTTTATTTTTATTTTGTCTGTATTTTATCTGCAGTTTAAAAATGAAGTTTTTTTGCTTAATGTCGAGTAGTTTAACCAATCGATTTACACTTGGAATTCAATGCCTCACACTTACCTTTAAAATAAGAAAAAGGTTACGGTCTAGACTATCTTCTTAATATATTTTGATAGGGGATGGTCTGATCCATAAAAATCATAATGACTATTCTCCAATAAAAAAATGAAGACCACACAGAACACAATGACCTGCACTCTCAGGAACTCATGCCAAAATAAAAACTTGGATAAATCCTGAAATGATATTACAGAATTGGAAGGACATGTTGACTCTTTACAAAGGTTTTCATGAAATTTTGTTTTTACAGAATAGACTAGGTGTTTGCTTTTTTACAATTATTATTCATGCACATGATATGGACATCGCTGGCAAGACAAGCATTTATCGGAAAAGCACAGCTGGTCAAACAGCATCTTGGAGCAGGAAAGTCAATGTTTCGGGCTGAAACCCTTCATCAGGACCCCCCAAAACGGTGACTTTGCTGCTCCTCAGACGCTGTCTGATCAGCTTTGCTTTTCCAACTCCATATTTATTGACTGTAGCTTCCAGCATCTGTGGTCCTTACTGTCTCCTGCATTTACTGGCCTGGAGAAGGTGGCAGTAAGCTGCTTTCTTGTACTGTCACAGTACTTGGAGTGTGAGGACACTCACAATTTTGTAAGGAAGCGAGTTCCAGGATTTTGGCACAGCAACAGCAAAAGAACGACAACATATTTCCAAAGCAGGATGGTGTGTGGCTTGGAGGGGAATTTGCGGGTGGTGATCTTCCCACGCATCTGCTGTCCTTGTCCTTCTCGATGGAAGAGGTCACGGATTTGGAAGATGCTACCAAAAAAGCCTTCATGAGCTGCTGTAGTGCATCTTGTAGATGGTACACAGTGTTGCCACTGAGAGTTGGTGATGAATCAGTGAAAGTTGAAGGTAGTGGTTGGTGGTGCCAATCAAGTGGACTACTTAAAAATTTAAGAGTTTGTAAAGCAAAATGCAAGTCCAAGTCACTTCCAATAAAGAAGACCAAAAGTTCTTATTTTATACATTACATTTTAAATTAATCACTGGTGTAAATGTGAAAACTACAAAGAAAAGCCGTGCAACTATAAGGATGGATGAAAAAATAGCAAGTAAAATGTTATACTTTTAACACAGTTAAAATGTTCAGCAAATAAAATGATGGAGTTTCAGACTTACACTGACTTTAGCATAAATGTGTCTGTAGTAGAGTTCCTTGTATAGAATAAGGAAAACAGCATCTGCAAAAGATCATTTAGAAGGTAGATACACAGTACATTGGACTTTGGTATTTGTCCTATATTCCAGATGTTGTAAATTATTCAGCACATTAGGAGATATCTACAACTCATGAGATATGCAATTTTTCTAAAAATAGAAGTTCTGTTCCTTTTTCTCAAACCTTCTTTTCATCTCTTCTTCTGCTTAAACAGCAACCAAAATACTTAAAAATAAAGTTTCAGTTCAAACTTCAAAATTTCACACAGCGTTCCAATGTGACCCAGATTAGGTAGCACATGAAGCTGCAATGGTACATCAGGCTTGAGAACCACAGAAAATGTATCCTCATATTTCACCATCAAAACCCAGGACAGTCAGGGACACCCATGAGGTGTCAAAATGAAGCTTGCCTAATGGGCTGGGAGTAGCAGGTGGAGGTTGAAGTGGGGTGGAATATGCCTCATTTAAGTCCTGCATGAATGGTTACAAAGGGAGGTCACATTACCAGAGATGCTCAGTTGTTTTCAGTATCTAGAAGCAGCACTCCTGTCTTTAAGGGACCAATTCAAAACTCAAAAATGCAGGTTGCAGTTTAAGAACTGGACTAAACGAATTTAAGCATTTGATTGGAATTGCTTGCAGGATTTCCATTTCAATACTGAAATAATGCGTTTCATTTCAGGCCAGGAATACCTGAAATATAAAGGGTGTGATCAATTCAGTAAAGGCCTGATGCAAATTCAGATCAGGCTGTTGCCCTGAAGAATTAGTTGTTGTTGTGGCTGTTTCACTCCTGGATACTGGGCACAACTTGATAAATTTAGATCCCAGTATTCTTCAAATCTGATGACCATCATACTTCAAGGTCGGATATATGCGTATGAAGCAAGTGGGTGCCCTTAGGAATTAAAACAATGCATTTTGTGTTATGATATTTAAACAGGACTGATTCTTTGTTATAGACTTAATAATCTCACGTTATTTAGAATTAGATTTATTGTCATGTACTCAAGTCAGGGGTATGGGAATACAGCAAAAAGCGCACAAAGTTGCCATTTCTGTCTCCATCTTAGGTACAAAGGTACTTAGGTATAAATTAGAAAAATGAAGAAATATAGTTAAAAGAGATCAGCATTACAGTCCTTATAAAGCTAAGTACAAAGATACCCAGATACAAAATCATATATATTGATTATATTCAAGTGGTGGGTGTCTGGAGATTTACTTCTGCTCTTAAATATATAACGGCAGACTAACACAGAGATGGTTAGGCTTAGAATTGCATGTGTGTATTATGTATTGCTGTTAAATAAAACCTTATAAGTGTGTAAAGATGGAGTTTCAGTTCTATCCTTCACTACCTGGCTTTCAAGAATCTTATTCTATGGGCAGGAAGCAGTCTATGAATCAGTACATTAACCAAAGTATGTCATTATGCACAAGCTGAAAACCCAAGCACTGTACCATTTCGACATATGGATGCAATAGCTTCAGCCTCAGGCCAAGGGGAGTTTTTGAAGAACCTTTCTGTCAGTTTATTCCAGCTGAAGAAAGAGGAGGATGAAAGAATTACTCAAACAGTTTCTACCATTGTTTACATTGCAACCAAATCACCTTTATACCACAGATATGTTTTGCTGAATAGTTCTGTGCTGTTGGCTTTTATTAGAAAGTTAAATATGAAAATTCTGGTTCAGTGCAGCAAAATATTCCTGTACTCGAATCTTCTTCAACTTAATCAACTCGAATCAACTTACTAGCTGCCTTCTTCACTGCTTACTACACCTGCAATGCTTACTTTTAGTGACTGACATACAAGGACACCCAGGTCTCATTGTATCCTTTCCCGAAGTATCCATTTCAGGCCATAATCTGCCTTCCTGGTTTTGATCCCAGCAAGATAATGTCACATTTATAAAAACCGAAAGAACTGTGGATGCTGTAAATCAGGAACAAAAACAAAGTTGCTGGAAAAGCTCAGCAGGTCTGGCAGCATCTGTGAAGGTAAAAAC